AGGGCCGGGCTCGTTGGAGGTGGAAGCGGTGGAGGAGCACTGCCAGCCGCTCACGTACACGGAGGTCAAGTACTTGGCCATCTGAGTGACCTGAGAGGACTGATCCATGGATCACCACTCAGACACGACTAATGACTAATGGAACTGAAGTATTTGGAATGCTTTTCCTTACGTGATGATTTCCAAAGTGTTTTCATCATGTCTCTCCTCCAGTGACCTTGTCAGGATTGGCAAGTGACCTTTTCAAGATCGAGGACCTAAGTGACCTCATTCTGGGATCTGAAAAGGTCACTGTGAAGGCCCTGCCTCATTGGTTCCAAACCTTTGCACGCTGAAACTGGGTATTCAATCTTCTGCAAGTCTCAGCCGATGCACGGGGAAGTCGAGCACAAAAGCTGGCGAAACCTCCGACCCGGCCCCGGTGGCGGTCCTCCAATCCACACCCCCTCTCCCCACCTGCACGGTGTCGAGGGCGCCAAAGGTGTGAGAGCAGGTGCCCTTCGCCTCGGCGGCTTCGCGCCGGAGGCGACTCGCTCGCACGGTTGCAGGTCGTACCCCGCACCGGGCCTCGCACGGGTAGTAAAGGCGCACGGGCGGAAGCGGTATCGAAAGTGAACCCGAAAGAAACCCGGAGAACGGCCCCCCGGTCAGGCGACCTTCCGACGAGGGTGTGATGCCCACTCTTATACTCCTTCTCAGTGTGAAAGGAGACTTCCACTGAGGAGGTTCTAAGCTAAGGAGACTACCACCTCAAGGATGTCAAGCTCTTAGGCCGCTCACCGGACGGAGGAGGAGGCCAGGTGCTCTTTCAAAAGGCAAGGAGGCAGGTGGAACACACGGGACAAGGAGGAGGCCATCGGAACCAAATCAGTGACGGGCAGGTTGTGACTTGGAACGACGACTGGATCCACTTTCGAGTTGCTAGCTACTTCGAAGGTACTCAGTAAGTAAGCCACCATGAACTCAGCCCAAACTGTGACCAATCTCTGTATACAATGAATCTGCGAGCCAACCAATGGAACCTCCTGGTGAGGACATGCACATGCAAATGATCCTTCAAGAGAAAAACGCATGAACACACGAACCCCGGAATCATCCTGTTCCGTTGACCATGGTCATTGATGACCTTGGCCCTCTATACAAGCAGGGGCCTTGGCCCCTGCCCGCGTGGACTGAGGTGTTTGTTCCTCGACCGACCTCACGTCCCCACCCAAGTCCATCCACCCATCCACCTCGGGGGATGTTCGGCGCCCCGTGATGCAACAGGAGGTTGAAGAACCCTAATTCGACCATCCCAGTTGGGTACTCTGGTAGGGACCTATGAAGTCCCATGGCCTGGTGCTCCCTCATCATCTTGTAGAGCTTCTCCTCGGCGCGGGTCTTCGCCACTCGGCTCGGTAGGGGTGGGGGTCGCTGGTTCCCATTTGGGAGGACATGTTTCTTGGGTGCTGAGGGTGCACCACTAACCCTACCCCTCCAAGCTGCTAGAATCTCGAGCTTGGATGAGTTGGATTTCTGGTTGGCCGGGCCACACTCTCGCTCATGATCTTCATCTTCACTTCTCCAAACTGCATCACCCCAAACGTCGTTGCAACTTCCGAAACCCCAAGATTCTGGCGAAGTTCCATTGGAAGTGGAGGTGGCTGGGCTGGGCATGGTCTTGCGATGATGCCAGGGGCCGCCCAAGAGATACGGCAGAGAGAGATGGATCCAACATGCCGCATGCCATATAAAGGCCATCATGGCTGAATCATGCTGAATCTATACAGTAGTATCAAGAGCCCAATACTTTGTTCAAGGCAACTCACTCGTTCTTTCCATACCTGCAATTAGGGGGTGGGGTAACCCTTTGATTCACCCATCATCCCCAATTTCCGTGCTAGATCCCTCTTTCATTCCTCTTCCATCCCTCTTCCCACCCCACCAACCACAGAAACCCAGCGGCGGAGACCTTCGCACCGGCGAAGTGCAACGGAAAGGTGCCTCTCCAAGGCAGGGGACGGAGAATCGACCCTTTTCAGCGGAGGGTTGGAGAAGAAACCACGTCTCAGCTGTCATTCAGTCAATGGAAGTGTTCCCTGACTCAACAGAACATAAGTGCTCAGAAGTGAACATAAGAGCCTCATTCAGTTCACTTCTGTGCAGAAGTGTTCAGAGACGGCATGCAGAAGAGAAACTTCCGACGGTGCTTCACTTTCCATTATATAGCAGCCTTGAAGAGTGAGGTCCACTAGCTCGACCCTTCGCCGCTGGTGAGGAAGAAAACCACCATCCGAACCTCAAAGGATGCACCGCCTCAAGGTCTCAGTTAACATCTCGGGTGTGCCCAGTTTAACGATGCGTCCCACACGTTTTCCTCACCGGGACTGTCCTCTAACCCTCTAGGCTTCAGCATTGACACCACAGGGCGATCAGGTCCAGACAACTAGACCACCACACTCCGACTGAACATGTATATAAGTGCGAAGCCACCTGCTTGCAGAGAACAAGGGTCATCCAAGGGACCATGCCATTCACGCCATCATGTGATGTGAGATGATGACGAGTGTCTCCCTGAACACCACCCCGCCACTAGCCCAGGGGGCTCGGAATTCCGCTCCATCGGTCCTTGGAGCTTCACCACATCCTCCACCTTATAGGGCCTGGTCGTGTGCTTGAAGCGCTCACTACCTCAGCCGGGCGAGCGAGTCACCTCAGCCGTCCCCCCAAAAAACAGCCAGCGACACCCCGATCTCATGACAAACGATCAAAGAAGAGATCCCAAAACACCCACGCCTTTTGTCCGAGGTTTCCGGGGTGTCGGGATCAAGGTTCAACAGGGTGTCTATTTATTCACGACCCCGACAGAGGGTCCTGGTTGTTGTCACTGTGTTTCCTGGTTTCAGCCGCTAGTTTGGGGGTGTCATCGATCATCTGCTCATCTTTTTTCGTGTTTCGATCATCTGCCCCTCCCAAAGAATGCATTTATTGCATGTAATCGTTACTATGAACATCTATGAACGATAAATGACCAGCACCAGCTCCTTCAAAGGGGTCACCAATGGAAGCCCCTACACTAGGGATCTCCATTGGACACCCCTTTGAAGGTCCAGGCATGGACTTCGATCAACAGCTTGGTGTTTTAAAATGTTTTTTGTGCTTCTGGAGGGTCAGCCGCTGAAAAATGGGTGACTCCTCACCACCTTCCACGACCGGTCCCAGCGGCCCATCCAGGTCTTCATCTCCTGCACGCGCTTCTCGAAGTCTCCATCCTCTGACACGCCGACCATGCGCAAACCTCCACTAATGGAGCTGGCACCGCCCAGGACCTGTCAGCTCTCGTGGTCGCTTTGAAAAAGCCGTCCTGTCCTTTCCTCCCACCAATGCTGCAACGGTTCAATCCATTCATGTTCAAACAACACCCCAACCGGATTCTCCGCGGCCCCAGCACCGCACCTGACGCTGGATCGTTTCGAGGCGGAAGGCCATGGCAGTCAAAAATCACCCAAAAAGTCACGACGGAGGGGGGCTGAGGCTGAGCAATCTGGCGGCGGGAAGGTCTATGATGGTCTACCAGAGTCTACCTGCGGATGAGGGGAGAGAAGAAAAAAAGCAAAAACGAGCCCGAGGGTCTGAGAAGGGTCGAAAAGCACATCCCAGCACATCTTTGCAGGGCTCACACCTTCAGCCCAAGAATCACAAAACCTCAACTAGTTGACGGGAGTTCCACCGTTCCAAGCCTTTTCCGGCGGACCAGTGCGTAGTACGAGCAGAATTCGACCGTTCCCTCCACCAGACCAATTTTTGGGGGGTTCGAAGTTCGAAGCCCCAAAATCCACTGATCAGTCACTGCTTTGAGAGCAAAAGGCCGTGTGATTCCATAGGCGGCTGCAACACTTACAACAAAAAGGGGGCCATGCCACCCACTCGGATTTGGTCTAAAACCGCCGGTGACTGCCTCGGGTCCTTTCTCCGATGACTGCCTCGGGCTTGCAAGACCCAGGTGTTGTTACGGACCCTTGGTGGTGAAGAGAACGGTGGAGAGCGCAGCTTCGACTTCTTGTTCTTTTGCGTCCTTCTTCTTCCTCGTCTTCCCCTCCTCCTTCTCCTTCTCCTTCCTCTTCGTCGTCGTTCTTCTTCGTCGTCGTCGTCGTCGTCATCGACGTCGTCGTCGTCGTCGTCGTTCTTCTTATTATTCTTCTTATTCTTATTTTTAGTCTTATTTTTATTATTCTTTATTTTTTCTTTTTCTTCTTCTTCTTCTTCTTCCTCTCCTCCTTCTCCTTCTCCTTCTCCTTCTCCTTCTCCTTCTCCTTCTCCTTCTTCTTCTTCGTCGTCCTTCTTCTGCAAAAGCTTTGTTTTTGAATGTTTTTGACATCTCTGACTATCTCTTTCTGCTCCTGTGCAGGCTACTTCTGCTGCTAGAGTCGTAGATAGTACCCGCTTTGCCTACATATCGGGATCTACACTGCCGCAACAAGGCACAAACCCCGTCAGTTGGTAGAAGAGGATTCTCGGCAAGGAGTCTAGTGACTCTAGTGGGAATAGCACAGCATTGTACAGCATTTGAAGGCGTTTGATATACATAATTGGCGCGCCCCGATCCCTGCTCAGACCAAAAATCAACCAAAATCAACCACTTCACCTGCAGCCTTTGCAAACCCAGGTCTTGGATGGTCTGTCGAGCCAGGCCCGGCAGCTGTTGGCCGGGCCCGTCCTCCGAAATCGCAGTGAGCCAGGAGACGCCCCAACGCGCCATGAAAACGACATGAAAACACAAAGGCTAAGGCTGCATCTCCGATCGAACACACGGCGCCGTGCATGAGGACCACTGGCCACAGGCGACGAGTACGCAAGGGACAGAAAAGTCTCTCCAAACTTCCCCAAGAGTCGGCTGATGAAGAACTAGGCTTGACAAAAATGGACGAAGAATGGGAGCTTGCGAGTACCTCTGAGCCCTTAGGCCCTTGGGGGCCCATTGCCTTTCCATCAAAAGAAGACTGGATTAGTGAGAGTACTGTACGGCATGCTGCTCCACATCAAGAGCAATGGGCCCGAGAATTCGAGGGTAAAATCGCGGCCAGTGCGATGGACGTCGCACGCCACTCAATCTGACATTTCCTGGATCTGCCAGGCATAGGTGCCATTTGTTTGTGGGTTGTTCCAAGAATGGCACCCATTGTGACGAGCATCCAGCCATGTAGTCAAGAGGTGAAAATGGGCGCTCAGAACTGCTTCTCGGTCACCCCCGCGGACATGATGCCTCGCGAGAAAAAGCACATCAAGATAGGCCCTAGCCGCTAGCCAGGACAACAAATCAAATGGTGCTGCGACGCTGAAGTTCGGGCTTTTCGCTGGAAGTAGGGCCATGGCAACAACAAGACCCTCGGAGCAAGCATCAGAAGCAAGGGCCAGTGGCCTACCATCGTTACCCTTTTCAAGCCTTCTCTACCGCAAGGCCCGTTCTGGGCCAATTCGGACAAGCCCAAAAAACGGCAAAACCTCTCCGAATGAAAAAGGACAGTTGGGGGGCTGGAGCTCGTCATGCGAATCTGGCATGTTTTCTTCCTTTTTCGGAGTTGAAGTCCTTCAGGACGAGAATGTCCCCCAGGAACGAAAAGACGAGTTGACTCCTGTCGAAAGCTTGGTCCGCTTTGAAAAGCCACCGGATTCTCCTGTCGTGCTCGGCCTGTGGAGGAGAGGCCGCCACTGACCACGTTGCCCATCTCATCCACGATCTCCGAGCCGCTCCTCGGACCCCGTGCCGGGCCACGGTATGCGGGTGTTGTTTGGGAAAAAGGGTGTGGGGCCTTAAGGGTCTTGTTGAAGACTAGGTCCTAGGTCACTGCGACGCGGTCGAAGCATCAATCGCACGAAAACGTCTTAAGGTCGCTAAGAGCACGATTATGGTATGGGTGGGCACCGTGAGGGCTTCATTTAGATACAACAGCTTCAACAGCTCTATATCTATACTGTCACCCTGCTCATGCAGAAGTCGTCCACCATTCTTTGGTAGAAGTAGAGCCTACCCGGCCTACCCGTCGCCTCAATGCGCGTGGGACTCCTGTGAATTCATAGAGCATGGGTCAGCAACTGCCCGGGAAAAATAAAAAAACATGTGAAGGCTCTGGTGAACAATTCTGGAAGACGATGCCATCTGAACCGACCGAGTACAGTAACCCCTCTCTCTCCCCTCTCTCTCTCCTCTCCTCTCCTCTCCTCTCCTCTCCTCTCCTCTCCTCTCCT